AGGAGGGCACCCCGACCGCCCCAACAACAGGCGGGGGCCACGGCGGGGCTGGGCGCGCGCACGGTCAAAGGAACGTTGCAGTGTGCCCGCCGCCGCCGCCGTGGGGCTGTCGTTGGGGCGGTCGGGGTGCCCTCCTAGCTTCTCCCCGCCTCCTCTATATTACACTTAAGCCTCTCCCCGCCTCCTCTAAATTACAACTTGAAACGAAGAGAAGCTGGTCGCCGAGTAGCCTGGGCAATGGGCAAGGATGCTGCCGCTTGGGGTTAGAAGGCGTCATAAGATGTGCCGCCGCTCTCTCCCTCTGACCGCGATGTGAAGAGCACCAGCGCTGCACCCAGGATGAAGGCCACCTGCGAGATGGTGGTAGGCGGGGGGGGGGCACAGTGGGTAGGCTAGGGACCAAACACACAGGCAGTGCGGGCCAGGTTGTTGAGGTAATCAGATGCAGGGCGCAGGACGAGGTAGGCAGCCTGCCCGCTCCACCTGCAGGATGGGCGCCACGTCTCCGCCCTTGTGCAGCATGACCAGCACGCTGCTGCCGATGGCGGCCAGCGAGATGCCATAGGCCATGAGCAGCCAGAAGCGGGAGCGGCAGAAGGTGCCCTCATCGTATGGGTCATAGCTCAGCAGCTCGTCGCTGCGAGAGCATTGCCAGCAAGGGTGACGAGAGGCGGAGGGGTGAAAGATGCGGGGACACGGGCAGCCATGCCTTCCACCAAGCACAGCACAGCCTGACCAAGACCTGCAGTGGGTTTGGCACTCACCGTCTCACAGAGTTGATCATCACTAAAGCCATGGTCGCAATAATGCCCGGCAGGCACGATGAAGATCGATGGAGACAGCACGAGTCAGGCACGGGTCAGGCGGGGGGGAGAACCCCAGGCTGTGTGTGCACCTGTGAGAAGGGTATGTGAGAGGTGCTGGTCGCCACGGTGTCCACCCAGCACCACCAGCCTGCGCCGAATAGGGCCCCTGAAAAGCTGGGGCCCCAGCGCGTGCCGTGGTCACGCCACTGCAGGCAAAGGGTTGAAAGACGGAGAGTGACTGGCCCAGGCCCGTCCAGCGGCTGGCAGTTCTGGCCCCTCCTACTGAACACCCACCCAATCGACGACGACTGGTGAGATGATCATCTCCAGGGTGCCCGGCATGGTGGGTTGCCGGCGCTGCAGCTGGGGCGGGAGTGGGCAGGCGGGGGCGGGGCGGCAGGGAGGCCGGGCGCCGCTGGCGTGGCGGGCTGGATGGAATTGCACAGCGCCTCCCCCGAGCGTGCTGCCACTGCCGGGGCGGCGAGGGCAGGGGTAGCGAGCGAAGAGGTCAACCCAGCTTGCAGAACTCTGAGGAAGCGGCCAAAGGGATCTGCAACCCGATCAGCAGCGTGAGGGAGGAGGAGAAAGGCCCTTTTTCGGCACAGCAGCGGAAAGCATGCCTGCCTGGATGCGCGCGCGGCCAATTCTCTTTCGGGCGTGCCTCATCTCTTTTTTCTGCGTTGCTTAGCTGTCGAACGGCGTGGTCACGACAACTGGATGCTGCTGTGGCCCCGGGCGGACCCGTGAGGCGGCAGATGCTGGCGAGGGTTTTTCGGTAGAGACCCCGCAGCAGCCGGGCAACTGTTGCAAGCGCGGCGAGGCCGCGCCCTAAGCTCACAGCCGCCGCGGCCATCCCGCCATACCATCCGCAGCTATGCCGCTGCCGCCTCATTGTGGTTTTTTATTGCTTGAAGCCTTCCTCTTTTTCAATCATATACAGGTAAATCCTGTTTTGTTTCAATTGCGCTAGACGCAATGGAGGGGCAGCACCGCCTGGCGCCGGGCCAGATCTCCTTCCAAACTGTGGTGGAATTCCTGGCTGACGTCAAAACGGTGAGATGGAGGCCATTGAGATGTGACTGGCTGGCCCTGGTGTCTGCTGGTCGCCGCCCAGACGATGTTTCCTCAGCTCTGCAGATCAAAGGCCGGGGCTCCATGAAACGCAAGCTTCACCTGGTGCGGCGCTTCATGGAGGCTGTTGTGTCGCGGGAATCAGGCCAAGCTTGGGACATTTGGCGCATTGCCCTGCCGCAGGTATGTACGACGTGGCATTGCGCTGGCCCATGCAGTGCCCCACGTTTTTTGAAAGCCACTGCGCTCCCGGCCTCTGCAGCTGGACTCGCATCGAGGCGCCTACATGCTGAAGCACCGCAAGTTGGGGCAGTCCTTGCTAATGGCATTCTGTTTGGACGAGAGTTCTGAGACAGGCCAGGCGGTGGTGCACTTCCTTCTACCCAAGCATGGCAGTGGCGCGGGGCACTTTGCCTCGATGGTGAAAAAGGTGGATGAGCTGCCTGTCCTCTCCCCGCTGTCTCAACCGGGTCTCTTCGGCCCCCCAGGCAGTGCAGCCGAGCCAGTGAGCCTCTCTCCGCTCTTCTTCCAGCCCCGTGCTGCTCGCTTTGCAACTGCAGCGGTTGTTTGATCACCATTGCGGTGTGCCCGAGCACAGACTACTAGTCGCAGAAGTCAACAGCAAATTGGACGAGCTGGCCGCTGCTGCTGGTGGGTGGACGCATGTGTCCACCCTGCTGCTGTTCCTCAAATACGCAGAGCATTGGCATTTCACCATGTGGCCGGCGCTGCACCTGCGCAGGCGACAGGGACAAGGCTGCCCTCGTGCTGCGCTCGCTGCTCCAGCGCTGCACTTCAAAAATGGCCTTTAACTTGGTGAGCTCTGTCAGCATGTTATTCCATCCCAGTACCAAGGTTTGGTCCGGGCAGCCCCCTTTTTAAGCGGATCTGTTGGTGTGCATCACGGAATTGCTGCTCTCCTGGTGAAAACAGGTACAAATTATCTTAAAGGATTTGCATATCAACCTCAGGTAAAATACAATGTACTGTTTGTCGTTTGTCCCTCGGCCTTGTGTACCTTGACCTGCTCCCTTCTGCGCTTGGCCTCTGCAGCCACGAGTGTGTCTTCAAGGTCTGGCATAGCCAAGCACTCCAATGCTACAACAGGTGGGCCACATGTGATACAAATAATTACTATACAAACAGATGTTTCTCCAGCCTCTTGTTCCCCTCCGACAGCTGCATGGACGCCCAAAAGGTGTTCAACGAGTTACTGGATCCGGAGGTGGCCGCCAGCGTGGTGAGCTCCGATTTGCATGCGCTACTCAGCCGATCCGTGGTTTCAGTGGTCGAATTGCAGTGGTGCAATTGTATGCTTACGCAGGAAGTGTGGCCGGGCAAGCCAGCCAGCCCACAGGTGGGCCTGGCGCTGCACAGCGTCAAGGCCGTGGTTCAGATGATGCAGTATCACTTCAATCAAGCACAGCTGCAGTTCTTGATAGAACCCAAGATTGACGGTGCGGGGCACTGAAGAGGCTTCTGGGAGCTGTCGTGTGTCAGCCTGCGCATCTTGACGCTTGCACCGCTTGCTCTTACAGGAGAACGGCAGCAGATACACGTGGTGGGGCGGGATCGCATCCATTACTGGTCGCGCCGGTGAGTTGCTCGCTGGCCATCATGGGCACAGCAGCAAGTTGGCACAGCAGCAAGTTGGCCCGCCTGTATGGTGCATCCATTACCTGTGCTGCATTTCATCTGCTTTTTTTGATGTTCTACACGTTCGGCCGCAGGGGGATTGACCATGGCCCGCAACAGAGAGCTGGGGGTGCAGGCGGCAGCGGTGGATACTGTGTGCTAGACCACATCTTCAGGAAGCAGGTGACGGCAGGCTCCGTCATCTTGGATGGCGAGCTGGTCATTTGGAACACCAAGCGGTGAGTTTGCTTCGTTTATTGATGCATGATTTTGACACTGCATGAGGGCAGAAACGAATCAGTCTGCAGGCGTTCATTTGAGATTTTTGGTAGTCTTCGAAGTGTATCTCTGGCTGCTGCCAGCCCCTCCGCATCTGCTTTGGATGTAGTGGAATGCCAAGACTTTGGTGAGTGTAGGAAGGGATTATGGTCCATTGCTTTCATTTCAAATGACCAAAATGGGTCATTGCTGCCGTAGATCAAAATGTGAACACTGCCGATCCGGACTGGATGCCCCCACAGCTCAAGGTGAAAGTAATGCGAACTACAGTTTCTGGCTTTTGGCAAGTTGTCACGTTGTTTTTGCGGCCACCCAGGATGTTGAGGTTGTCTACGTATGCTGGGACGTTTTGCACATCGATGGCCGCAATGTCAACTCTCTGCCGCTGCTAGACCGCCACAAGCTGCTGCGCGAGGTAGTAAGAGATGCACCGCCAGAAGGTGCGGGGCAAGGTTGGTGGCAGGAAACAGCGGCCGGGGCTGGGGATGAGCACGTGCGTATGGCTGTATGCAATGCCCTGCCTCTGCATCCCGTGTTGCACTTTCCTGGCTGCCTACATGGGTGATGGCTGCAGGTTACCCGGTCGGCAGCAGCGGCGCCGTGCGTGGCCGCGTGGTGTTGCTGTTGCCGGGAGTCTCCCTGTTTGGCTGTGTGCCGCCCTCCCAGATCTGCTCTACGGCAGCAGATGTGCAGGATGCATTGATGGCTGTGATGAAAAGGGTAAGTTTGTCCGAGTGGGCTGCCTTCATCTCTTAGTTGCCCTCTGCGTTTGGCCACATGATTGTCGCTTATCGAGGCGGGTTCTGGTTGGCCCCCGGCTTCCTTTGGCCTATCCTGCAGCATGAAGAGGGGATCATGATCAAGTCGCTGGATAGCAAGTGGGTTCCGGGTGACCGCAGTGGCCACTGGTGCAAGCTCAAGCCCGACTACCTCCACAAGGCGAGTTGAAGCAGCTTGCCCGCGTCATGTCTGCTTCTTCATCTCCCAATCAATCTGATGCTTGCTGATGCTTGCACGTCGTTTCCCTTTTGCCACAGTGCGAGCTGGATTGTCTTGTTGTTGGCGCCTGGTGAGTGCATTGGCGCATACATCCACCATATGGGAGGCGGTCCGTTGGCCTGTGCACCTACCAATTGTCTTAGTTTGCCCACGCAGATGGGGAGAAAATGCCAGGAGCGGGGTTTTGGCTGAGTTCTTGTTGGCCATTGCTCAGCGCCCCCATGGTGCCAGCAAGCAGCCTACCCGCTGGGTGACCTTTGCCAAGGTGAGCTTTGCCCAGCCGCTGCAGCCCCCCCCACCCCCCACCCCACCCCACCCCACCCCCCCACACACACACACTCATCTTTGCTGCTGCTGCTCATGTCACCTCCCAAATGTGTCAGGTGGGGTCGGGCTTTACCGATGTCGACAGAGCGTACCTGTACGAGAAGCTGGCAGGCAACACCTGCGAGAGGCCGCCGCCATGCTACAAGTACGGATATTGCACAAAGCAGTCTGGACATTTGGCTTGCCTCCATTGTGCCGTTATTTTCCTATCCCCCTTCTGCTGTTTTGACGCAGGATCACAGACCACTACAAGGAACGTCCTCACGTTTGGTAAGCGGCAGAAATTGTGCACGGACGTGCCCAGTGATTCGCAGGCAGAGGCCTTATGTTGGCCTCCCGCTTACCCTGCCTGCCCATCTGCCTGTACCTGCAGGATTCGTGACCCACTTAAGAGTGTGGTACTGGAAGTGCATGCAGACCTGCGCCTTGTGCGCTCCAAGGTGGGCTTTTTGTCTGGCCCTTTTCTCTTCTGTTGCTGCAGCTCTTCATGCAGCCTTACTTATCAGGCCTTGCTGGCCCCCGGCTCCAGGTGTACGCCAGTGACTACAGCCTGCGCTTCCCACGCTTTGATCGCATCAGGTGCGCGTCTTGCCCATCATGTTTAACACATTGTTTGCATTTGTTGATCGTACTGCTGCCAGCATCTGCAGGCATGATAAAGATGCTCTAACAGTTACTGGCGAAGAGGAGCTGGCGATGGTGGTGGAAGAGAAACAGGTCAACCAGCCTGATAACTGGCGTGCTCTAGCTCAGCTGGGATGATGCCTGATGGGTGTGCCATGCTTCCCGCCGCCCAAGTTTCCACCTGCTGCTCTTACCACGCAGGGATATATGTTTCAGGAGGACGTCAAGCATCTGGGTGCGTGGGTTAAAACATGGCGGCCGGGGGGGAAGGGGGGTCACCATCAAGAGTCGAGTGAAAGAGCAAGAGTGAGGGAGCAAGGCTGTTTCTGAATGGCCCACTACTTTGTTTGGTGCTGCTGCGACCCAACGCAGGTACTCATTCGAAGCCAAGGATGGCACGGCTTCGGCAGAAGGCCAAGGCCCAAAGGCGCACTCTGCCGCCTGCATTTGTGACACTATCCGTCAGTGAGGTGAGCATCAGCGGTCTGCTGTTCCTGCTTCTGCACGGTCAATGTCAGCAGAGTTGCTCAGGTGACATAAACCGTGGCCAGGCTCATGTCAACAGGTCATCCGTGTCTTTTCTTGGGCATGGTGCAGATCCAGCCAGAGAGTAGCCAGCTGGACGGCTGCTGCATCTGCATCCTCAACTTTGCAGGCAACGAGCAAGCAAGAATAGAGGTGAGCACATCAGATGGCAGCTAAAATGGCAGAAGTTCTGAGTGCGGACCCCAGTCCATGCACGTCCTGCTGGACCCTTGCAGAAGCTGGTGAAGCTGATGGGTGGCTCGCGTTTCAATCGGTTCATGCCACGCATGTTGGGCTGCGAGGATGGCATCACCCACGTCCTAGCAGGTGGGTGGGCTTGAGAGTGCATGTAGAGGCCCAACACCAGGGCCACAGCCAGGTATGTGGGTGGCTTTGCTTGCTGCCGTTAAATCATGTGGATGCTGCTGTCTTCTGTCTGGCCCCTCAGGCGAGCAAGGGGGCTCTGACTGGATCGCTGCAAGCAAGGCGGGCTGCGACGTGCTCAGCTTTGGCTGGCTGGAGCGGTGCTACGCAGAGGGGACGCGGGTGCATCCGTGGCCCTCGGAATACTTGCAGATCTCAGATGCCACGCTGCAGGTGTGCTAGGGCTGGTTGGGAGATGCTTGCTAGCTGTATGCTTGCAGCTCGGTAGGGCCCAAGCTCCCACCACCACTACCGAACATGTACCTACGGTGCATTTGCTGCTGTAGGCGTGCCTTGAATGGGACTGCTTTGGCGACGCATTGTTCGACGATGTAAGTGTTTTAGCAACCAGCGTCCTGCAGATGCGACCGGCATCAGCTGGTCGGGGGTAATCCTTGCTGCCCTGGCTGCTCCGTGCAGGCAACCGAAGAGGACGTGGCGGCGGTGCTGGGCCGCATGTCGGCAAAAGACTGCCTGACAGAGCCAATGCTGAGGGGCTGGCTGCAGGAGCAGCAGTCAGCAATCCTGCTGGCAGGGGGAGACAAGGATTGCAAGAGCAGCGTGGACGTGGAGCTGGCGAGCTGTGGCGAGCTGGATGGTGCCTCACTGCTGCATGGCTGCAACATTGCAGTTGTATGCCTGCCACCCGAGCAGGCGCAGCAGGCGGGGAGTGTTGCCAGGGTTGCAGGTAAAGCACCTGCTTCTGATGCCGGAGAGCACTTGCATGGAGGTGTTGAGACAATCAACATGGGCCCACGTGCGTCCTTGTGCCATTTGAAACAGGGTTGGAGCGGCTGCAGCAGGCGGCTGCCCGCACCCGAACCTCGCTGGCTCAGCATGCCGCTCGGAACCTGCGTGTGTTGGCGGCAGAGCATGGTGGCAGCTTGAGCAGCACGCTGGACAAACACACCACGCACCTGCTGGCGGTTCTGCCTTTGGAAGCGGCATTGCCTGCGACAGCATCGCCAGTATCTGCAACGGCATCAATTTGCCCGTTGGGACTGCTGGAGGCTGTGAGCCAGCAGTGTGGTGGTGCAGCAGCCGTGGCTTGCTTGCGGCAGCGGCTGATGGCGGGCCAGCTGGTAGTGCTGTCATCCAGGTTGGTTTTTCTGATCCTTCAGGTGTGCGTGGTGTGGCCACCCAGCTTTCAAGTTCATCAAGACCTCCTTTCCTGGCTGGGGATGCTGCAGGTGGCTGGAGGCGTCCTGCATGGCCGTAGATGAACAGAGCGACATGGCAGTTTCTCCTGCCGAAGAGAGCGGCTACCAGCTGCCTGTGCAGGGCAAAACACCGACAGGCTGTGCCAGCTGGCCCTGGGACCGGTTTGTGCATGCCGACTCAGCATTTGCAGCAGCTGAGCATACTGAGGCCACAGACGCAGAACCACAGTCTGATCCTGCTGCTAAGCTGGCTAGCGACAGCGGGCGCGGCAGGGGTGCCCAGGATGCAGTTGCCAACGCAGTGGCAGCGCCAACAACAGAAATGTGGGGCCGCGCAGTACCGCTGCCAGGGGTGCAGCCGGGCAGACCTCCACTGCCAGCATTGGGCAACCCTGAGATGGCCCAGCCATCTGCAGCCCCATTGCCAGACGGACCTCAGGCTGCAGATGGGGCAGGCAGGCGCCAAGGCGGCAGCAGGTTGGCACGTAGTGGCGTGGCCAGCAGCAGGCCCACCGCACCTGCAGTGGTAGCATTACCAAGAGCTTCCTCAACGGCAGCAGCGGCACCTGCATTGCCAGCAGCTGAGACAGCTGCAGAAGGTGCGGTGGCAGCAAGGCCTCGCACTGCACCTGGCATGACATCCGGCAACCAGCGGGCAGCCAAGCGCAGCAAGTGCAACCAGCTGGCGGATGCATCAGCCGTGCCCAGCGTGGCACCACGTAGCGACGGCTGCCAGGCAGCCGTGGTGCCAGCTCCCACCTCCACTGATGCTACCTTGTTCCCTGCTCTCTTTAGCGATCTTGTCGGTGGTAGCTCATCAGCAGCAGCAGCAGATCAGCAGCCGGTGCCAACTACTGTGTCGTGCGCTGTGGCAGCAGGGCCTGAGACGTTGACTGTGGTGGTAGCAACGGCGACTGGCCAGGCACGCATGGTGGCGACTGGCCAGGAGAGCATGGCAGCAGCTGTTGTGCCGGCAGATGTACCGCTCGGGATACCATCGTGGCTTTCACCGCCCCATGCAATCCAGCAAGCGCGGCAGCAGTCTACTTTGGCGCCAGCCGACAACCTGGGGCATGTGTCTCTGCGCGAAAAGGTCCTGCTGGCGTGCAGCCTGCCGCACATTGGCCCGGAGTAAGAGACAGGCAGGCAACCCATAGATGCCTTGCTCTTGCATGCAACAGTAGTACGCTTCCGCCCGCCCCTTTTTTGTCTCTCCTGTGCTGCCGCCCCCTTGCGATATGCGCTCTCAGGCATTGTGCCACGTTCTCGCTGTGTTGATCCCATGCCAATGTGAAGAGAACACCTCTAAATCAACTCTCCTCTGGCATGTGTTCCAAGGGGACACACTCCTCCCCTGGAGTGTGTAGGGCCCTGACTGCTAGCAGCACTGCCACCATGCGTGCCTCGGCAGGGCAGGCGCAGCTGATAGGGGGTTGCTTGCAACGCAACCAGTGTTGGGCTCCAATCGAGGGGTAGCGGTATGGTAAAGGGCGAGGTGGCGGTCAACGGGGGCGAGGATGATGGGTTAGTGGCCCCTGTAATCTGTAATCGAGGTGGCCAGGTCCTGGCCGATGTTGGGCACTCGAGGTGGCACAAGGGACCTCGGTTTAGAAACAAGTGCGCGACGTGCATGCTGTGGTCTGTTTGCGCAAATTTCCACGCCGCTGCATTTCCCCGCCCCCATCGTCGCACTGTTGACATCCTTCTACCACTTTGTACAACAACATGGGCTCGAAGACGTTTCTTGCGACGCTGGCAACGGCGGTTTTCATGGCCGAAACGACTGCCATCTTCGGCCTTTCCTTCGGCTTCACCTTGCTGAGTTTCGCGCGCTCTATCTTCCGCCGGACTTCTATTCGTCGGTCGTCGCCCCCGGCATCGTCGCTGGCGCCGGCCAAAGACCTGCCGCCGACAGAGCAGCTGGAGCTGGACCAGCCGGAGAGCAGCGTGCATGCATTGGCCGCTCATCAGCTGGAGGCTGTGGCCTCGGAAATCAGCTTCACATTCAGCAACGCCCTGGCGGAATGCACCACCGAGGACGGCGCTGCTGGCGACCTGGAGGCTGTGGCCGAGGGCGGGTTGGAGGGCGAGGGCTGCGAGGAGGAGGACCGCTTTGAGGAGGAGTGCACTACGGAGCTGGAGTTGAAGTGCGGCGGCCTGACCGGCATGCGCATGCAGCAGCGCAGCATCAGTGGCCTCGGTGCGCTGTCTACAAGCTGTTGGGGCCAACTGCTTGCCCAGCACCACACACCAGTAACCTCCTGCGCCTCTCGTCAACTGCTGCCGCCAACTGCCAACGACCACCCCCCAACCCCTGTTGCAGCTGTGCGCACCGAGGCTGCGGCCAGCAAGGCTGCGCCCCTGCTGGTGTCTTCATACGACGGCCGTTTTGTGGAGATTGTGAATGGACGATGCCGGCAACTTGCCGTGGAGTCGAGCTACTTGGATGCATCTTGTGCTACCGCCGCACACTCGCGCAACAGCCACGATGCTCTGGGCCCTGCGGCGTCAATCAGCCCCAGCCCCACTGATGCTACCCTGTAGGGTAATCAGGGGGCAAGGCTTGGAACAGAAGCACACGAATTGTACTTGTTACAGCGAGTACACAACAAAAGGAGGGGTAGGCAAAACATTAGCAACGCGAAAGCTCCCAGAGAAAACGAGCAAAGAACTAAACTGACGGGTCATTGACAAAGCCAGCGGGCGGCATTTATGTGCATGCGTTCGGCCTGCCAAGTTTTCACCCCGTCTACAATGTCCAATTTTTACCTTCACTGCCGTCGCGCACGCTCCCAGTCTGCAAGCCATCACGTACCAGCCGGGGCCGCGGAGTCGCCGAGTCGTGGCTGCCCAACTGGTCGTTACCAAGCCGCGAGCCACGACCGCCGGAAGGCCAAGCTGGTTCACGGGTAATGCGACTAGATGGATTGCACGGACGCGTCAGCTACTTCAGTGTTGAGGCGGGGCTGTTGCTGGATCTCGGTAGTAGACCTGCAACACAGCACAGCAACAGCCAGAGAACCGGAGCTGGCTGGCTTGCTGAACACCTGGAGTTTGCAGATGCCAGCGCAATGCTGTCTCCCAAATGCCCTCAAACCCCGCACCTAAATGTGACACACACACACACACACACACACACACACACCGCGCCTTCCCAGCCGGCCACACGCTCACCTTGCGGTTGTCCAGCGGGTCGCTCATGGAGTTGGGCAGCGAGACGGGGTCGCGCATGCTGCTGCCAGGCGGAAGATACACATAGATGTCATCGTCCTCCTCGTCCCCTTGGTCATTAGCCCGCTTCTTGGCATCCTTGCTCTCCCGCAGCTTGGCCTGGGCCGCCTGCAACAGAGGCCACGGTGAGCGAGCCGGCGGGATTGGTGGCGCACGCGTGCCCACCACGTCAGCCTGAACTAGTGTGTCGGGGGCTGTTGGCCTTGCCATGCCGCAGAATGCGCTCTGCGTGCGTGGCATGCACCCACACACCCAGCCAGGGTTCTGCCGCAACACGCAGCAGGCGGGGGACGACGGAGCAGGGACGACCGCGCACCGCGACGTTCAGCGGCGGCGATGGCATCTGCGGCCGCTTCTTCAGCGGCCGGTAGTCCTCCACCGGCTTCTGATTGTAGATCTCGGGGTCGGACAGGCTGCAGTGCAGCAGGCGGAGCGGTCAGCCAGGGCTAGGGCAGGGCAGCACAGCGGGCGGCGGCGAGGGCGAATGACCAATGGGTTAGCCCAGGCTCCCACCCCTCCCGGCACCTGGTGTGCTTTCCGCCAAAGCTCCTGCCATACGTCGGATCCTTGAGGGAGCAGCCGGGGGGCAGCAGCTCGTAGCTCTCCTCGCCCTCCTCGTCCGCCGGTTTCTGTGGCGTCGTTGCGAACTGCCGCGCTGCAGCAGCGGTGCCGAGGGCTGCTGGGGCCTGCCGAAGCATTGCTGGGGCCTGCCGAAGCACGGTGGCCTGGAGCATGGCTGGGCAGTTGCTGCAACGCCGAGAGAACAAAAATTCCGAAATGTGCGCCGACACAGCAGAACACATCTTTTGCAAGCAGGTTGCGTGTCACGACTGACAACGCGCCGATGACGTGTGGTGGAAAACCGGTTAAACCCTCACACTACATCGTATATGCCCCACCGAGGCAAACGGGGGGCTGCTACTGCCCGCCGCTACTGCCCGCTGCCGCTGGCACTAGTCACTGGGCAAATTGCCTAGGCCAGGGTTCTTTCGTGGGTTCGGCTCGGCAAAGGTCTCTCGCGAAGTGGATACAAGGTTCCAGTACTATGCTGCGGGGCACGGCCGGCGGCCCATCCTGCCACTACCGCCAGCCAGGCGCTGCCGCTCTCTGCGACGGTGGCGGTGGCGCTGTCCCTCCAGGCGACGTGCCGTTTCACCATTTAGTGGTTTTCAGCGATCGCATCCGGCTGGTAAGCCCAAGTCGGCTGGCAGTAAGCCCCTTCTCAATTTACAAGCAGCAGCCTTTTGCTAGGATACCTGGCTTGCAGCTTAGGAGGGGGAGCGGGGCGGTTGGACGCAAGCGCAGGCTTCTGCAGGCATTCACAAGGACGTTTGACAGGGCTTCCGGACAGGCCTATGATGTATGGCGCCTCGTCCTGCCCAGTGTATGTCAGTCCACAGTGCAAACATGAACAGCTGCCTCTATGACTGACTGATGGCGTCTCCCAGCTCTGCAGGTGGACACGCAACGGTCCCTCTTCATGCTCAAGGAGAGGAGGCTGGGGCTGTGCCTGCTGCTGGCCTGCGGAGTTCCACAGACCAGCCCTGAGTGGCAGGCTGTGATCAATTGGCTCAGGCCCGAGGCTGGGGCAGGTGCTGGACGCTACGCCACTGTGCTTAAAACTCGTTTGTTTGAGAAACACTGCCGTTTGTCAGACCCCCTAGGCCGCGGCTAAGAAAGGCCTTCTTTGAAGGCACTGGAGCTAGTGTCTAAACCCTCCGAGAGGGCACAGGTTCGATTCCTCCCATGTCGAAACTTTGTGAGGACAAACGCGGCATAGCTGACCGGCTCAGCGCCAATCCAAGCCAATTCCTTCGGGAACGCCTAATAGAATCGCCAAGGCTTCGGCACAGGCCTCCCCGGGACCCATTCACTACTAGTGGGGGGTACTGCACTTGGCGCGTCGGGCAGATCAAATAATGGTCTAAAGCTAGACGTTAAAACCGGGAAGTTAAGCCTGTGGAGGCTCTTCCCCACCTTTACCTTTACCCTACCCAACCAGCCCGTGGATCCCCGGGTGCGAGACCTGAAGGTGTCTCAAGTCAACCGCAAGTTGGTTGAGCTGGCCGCTGCCTCCAGTGAGTAGCGCATGTGTGGTGCCGCTGGCTGCACCTGAGCCGCCTTGCAACCAATTGGTTCTGCCCTTCTCCTCCACTTCACCTGCAGCCAACCGCGAAAAGGCAGACCTGCTGCGCTGGCTGATGCAGCACAGCACCCCGCGGATGATGTGCTACCTGATTACTGTCATCCTCAAGCAGCCAAGCATCAACCTGGGGTGGGTGGACATGTGCTAATTTCTTAAGGTATTATCAAGGGTGTGCCTTGTTCACAAATCAAATCCCCCCCCCCCCCCCCCCCCCCGCCTGCACACAGCCACAATTTTGTGTTTGCCGCGTGGCACCCCCTGGCAAAGCAACTCTATAACCATAGAATGGATGCGCAACTCGTCTTTTCATTGGGTCCAGATGCAGCGGCCGATGTGGTGAGGCACCCTAGTTCAGCGTGCTTGACTCGCGACTATGTCTGAGGTGGCCTCTCTGCCGCATGCCCTTGCAGGCATTGCAGCCAGGCACGCCATCCAGCCCGCAGATGGCGCGGCCGCTGCACAGCGTCCAGGCCGTGGTGCAAATGATGCAGCATCACTTCAGTGAAACACACGGCCAGCTGCAGTTCTTGATAGAACCCAAGATTGACGGTGCGGGGCATTGGAGACCCTGCTGGGTGCTGTCATGTGTCAGCCTGCACATCTTGACGCTTGCACCGCTTGCTCTGCAGGAGAACGGCAGCAGATACACGTGCTGGGGCGGGATCGCATCCATTACTGGTCGCGCCGGTGAGTTGCTCGTCGGGCATCGTGGCCACAGAGCGAGTTGGCCTGCCTGTGTGGTGCATACAATGCTGCTGCTGACACTGTGCCGGTCGTTTCTGGCAGGGGCTTTGACCATGGATTGAACAGCGTCAGCAGAGTTGGCTGTGGTGGCTACGGCTTATTCAAAAGTTGTCAGGCAGCAGGTGGCGGCAGGCTCCGTAGTCTTGGATGGCGAGCTTGTTGTCTAGAACACGAGGCGGTGAGTGCAAACTGTGGACACACATCGCATGTGGGATAGAGTGCTTGCATCAAGCGTTATGATGCGCTGCAGCCTCTGCTTTGAACCATTTGGCGTTTTCAGGAGCGTATTCTGGGCTGCTCTACGTGCTGAAGCTTCCCCCCAGGACGAAAAGCGCTGCCGAGACGTCAATGGTGTGCGATTAGCTGCCTTTTTGCCCCGGGCTGAAAAGCTTTGGTGCCTTGGATGCCCCGACTGACCTTGCCTCACCGCAAGAATGCAGATGGCAGCACCATCAACACTGCCGGTCCAGACTGGATGCCCCCACAGCTCAAGGTGAAAGTAATGCGAACTACAGTTTCTGGCTTTTGGCAAGTTGTCACGTTGTTTTTGCGGCCACCCAGGATGTTGAGGTTGTCTACGTATGCTGGGACGTTTTGCACATCGATGGCCGCAATGTCAACTCTCTGCCGCTGCTAGACCGCCACAAGCTGCTGCGCGAGGTAGTAAGAGATGCACCGCCAGAAGGTGCGGGGCAAGGTTGGTGGCAGGAAACAGCGGCCGGGGCTGGGGATGAGCACGTGCGTATGGCTGTATGCAATGCCCTGCCTCTGCATCCCGTGTTGCACTTTCCTGGCTGCCTACATGGGTGATGGCTGCAGGTTACCCGGTCGGCAGCAGCGGCGCCGTGCGTGGCCGCGTGGTATTGCTGTTGCCGGGAGTCTCCCTGTTTGGCTGTGTGCCGCCCTCCCAGATCTGCTCTACGGCAGCAGATGTGCAGGATGCATTGATGGCTGTGATGAAAAGGGTAAGTTTGTCCGAGTGGGCTGCCTTCATCTCTTAGTTGCCCTCTGCGTTTGGCCACATGATTGTCGCTTATCGAGGCGGGTTCTGGTTGGCCCCCGGCTTCCTTTGGCCTATCCTGCAGCATGAAGAGGGGATCATGATCAAGTCGCTGGATAGCAAGTGGGTTCCGGGTGACCGCAGTGGCCACTGGTGCAAGCTCAAGCCCGACTACCTCCACAAGGCGAGTTGAAGCAGCTTGCCCGCGTCATGTCTGCTTCTTCATCTCCCAATCAATCTGATGCTTGCTGATGCTTGCACGTCGTTTCCCTTTTGCCACAGTGCGAGCTGGATTGTCTTGTTGTTGGCGCCTGGTGAGTGCATTGGCGCATACATCCACCATATGGGAGGCGGTCCGTTGGCCTGTGCACCTACCAATTGTCTTAGTTTGCCCACGCAGATGGGGAGAAAATGCCAGGAGCGGGGTTTTGGCTGAGTTCTTGTTGGCCATTGCTCAGCGCCCCCATGGTGCCAGCAAGCAGCCTACCCGCTGGGTGACCTTTGCCAAGGTGAGCTTTGCCCAGCCGCTGCAGCCCCCCCCACCCCACCCCACCCCACCCCACCCCACCCCCCCACACACACACACTCATCTTTGCTGCTGCTGCTCATGTCACCTCCCAAATGTGTCAGGTGGGGTCGGGCTTTACCGATGTCGACAGAGCGTACCTGTACGAGAAGCTGGCAGGCAACACCTGCGAGAGGCCGCCGCCATGCTACAAGTACGGATATTGCACAAAGCAGTCTGGACATTTGGCTTGCCTCCATTGTGCCGTTATTTTCCTATCCCCCTTCTGCTGTTTTGACGCAGGATCACAGACCACTACAAGGAACGTCCTCACGTTTGGTAAGCGGCAGAAATTGTGCACGGACGTGCCCAGTGATTCGCAGGCAGAGGCCTTATGTTGGCCTCCCGCTTACCCTGCCTGCCCATCTGCCTGTACCTGCAGGATTCGTGACCCACTTAAGAGTGTGGTACTGGAAGTGCATGCAGACCTGCGCCTTGTGCGCTCCAAGGTGGGCTTTTTGTCTGGCCCTTTTCTCTTCTGTTGCTGCAGCTCTTCATGCAGCCTTACTTATCAGGCCTTGCTGGCCCCCGGCTCCAGGTGTACGCCAGTGACTACAGCCTGCGCTTCCCACGCTTTGATCGCATCAGGTGCGCGTCTTGCCCATCA